GAGGAGGTACCGCGGCGCGGGGGGCTCGGGAGGCGCGGGGAGGTTTTTCCCCTCACGGAATTGCCTTCCAAGAGATTTGGCTAAAAAGTAAAATTTGTGCTTATTTGTGCTTAGCTGTTAGGGCGCAGTAGCGGTGGTTACCCCGCTTTGTCAGCCGCGGCTGGCTTTGTGGGGCGGGCGTTCCAGCCCCCTGAGCGGGGCCATCGACTTCTGCCCTCTGACAGCTGAACGCAGGGCCTAACCGGGTGGGACGGTAAACATGTATTAATTCTTTAAATACCGCCACTAGACTTACTATCTTGCCTGCAGTGCAAACGGAGGCATTGCTGGTTTGTTTGGAAGCAGCTGGTCTAGCTGGAAGCGAACTAGCTGGGTTGCCAAAAACCAGTTTGCGGTGGCTGCCCAGTACTATCCATCCACCTGGTGGGTTAAGTCACCGTCCCAGGCCGGCAATATCCTCTGCACTGTTTTGGTTACGTGGTTGTTGATTCCCAGAAGGATGAGTTAAAAACAGGATTTCTCAACCTTGAGAGGAGCACACCGCAAGAAACTATATTAGTATATTTCTGTTGAATAAGCATTTGTGGACTGAAAGAATTTTGTAGCACCTAAGAAGAACTTTTATTAAGAGTAAATTTCACAACAAGCCTAAAAATCTGTTTTGGTGAAATTTATACCTTAAACTAAGGTGTTAGTTTGTTTCAGTTCCTGACAAGTCATTGTTTTTCCAAGATCAGGAAGGCTGTGTAGGAAGACCCAAAGGAAGAGTGCTTTGAAAGGGATTTTAGCTTATATTGAAGGAAAGCTCTTTTTCATGGCATGTCTCTGATTATGTGACTCATCATAAAACAATCATTAAAATGAGGGGAAATAATTTCTGTTGCCTTAGAGAATATAAGTGCCACATGGATGATGAAAACAAGTTTGAGTGCTGATACATATTTATATTCACATGTATGGCATCAGTAGAAGATGACTGTAAAAACAGCTATTTTATCTAGCCACTGAATTTAACTCCCTTACAAGTGTCATGGTCCTGTAGGAGTGTTGAGACTTGCTTTATGGAGACTTTTTGCGCTACGTTAGCAACTCCTGCTGATGTGAATTGCAAGTTTTATTCCCTTACCTCTTACTGCCCCAGAGGAGTCCTCTGCTGCTTAATGGTTTTGGGTCTGAGCCCCTTTCTGAACTTTTTAACTGTGACCTAATCTTAGCTGGTCTACCTGCCTGCCTTCATTTTATTTCTTCACCTCTCTTGAGCGTTCAGGTGACACTGGGCATTCCAGGTTCTCTTTCCAGCTTCTGTTGTGTGGGAACACATTCCTGCAGAGCCAGTGTATTGTGCATTTTTTATGTATTGAAGTTCCATAAACACATGGTAATAAGCATAACCAAAAGAACTGTTAATTAAAAGGAAAAAGTGAGCTAAGGGAAAAGAAAAGGGAGTTAGGAATGATCCATTTCTATTTCGGGAGTAAAACAGAATGGCTCTTGTAAAGAGGCTGTAGCATGTTTGGATGTTTCTGTTGTCCATCATACTGCCAACAGCTAATACTTTTTACATCCTACAGTCAGGATCAGGTTAAGTTTAATAACCACATGAATCCATCTGTTACAGTTTCATATACACAAAAACATAGGTGGGGGGTTTTTAAGTGTTATTGCTCATAATTCTAAGGAATATTGCTTTCTTAACAGTAGTTATATAACAGTGCTCAGATTTCAGGTTATGGTTTATGTAAACCATATGTAGTTCTGTGCTAGAGTTGAGAGAAAGAAACTTAGTATGCACAAGAGAAATCCTGAGTAGCGTTGAATCTTTAAATTTTTTAAATAGGATTTTTAAAATCTTTTTTGTAAGGAAGGTCTGGCTTGTAGGGAGTAATGAGATATTCTTTATTTAAAAATAAGGAAAGAAGGGAAGGGGAAGGGGAAGGGGAAGGGAAAAACAACAACAACAATATCAGGGTTTTTTGGTTTGGTTTGGTTTTTATATGTTCTTTCAACTGCTTAAAAACAGATTTCCACTTCATGATAAAGAGAGACTTGAGAAATGGTTGCAAAATATGAAACGAGATGCATGGACTACAAGTAAGCACCAGCTTCTCTGCAGTGATCATTTCACTCCTGATTCCCTGGATGTGTGATGGGGTATACGATACTTGAAACATACAGCTGTACCAACCATTTTTTCATCCCCAGATGATGAGATAACATATTCCTATCTGTTTTTATTGTATCACAAAGCTAACCAACTATTTATGTAATACAGATCACAGAATCCTAGGAGCTGGAAGGGACCTCGAATACAGATGTCCTAGTGATGTGTAGTATATTGATCTTGTATTTTAAAAATAGAATTAATGTTCATAAAAATATTTTGTCAACAGGACTGACACAAAATGAATATGTGATTCCATAGTGTAAAGGGAGAACAACTTTCCATACTTTGACTGGAGGTTCAATATCTTTTTAAATTGGAAATTACAGAAGCATTTCCTTTTAGAAATTTCCCATAGGAAAATTAAAATAAAACATAAAAATACAACATTTTGCAATTTTTGGTGGTAGTAATTTAGCAATTAATATCTTTCCTTCCACCCCCTGCTCCCCGTTTCAATATAGCCATCCCTTCCCTGTGCTGTCATTGTAACAGGGAGCCCTGCCTTTGGAACTGGACTTTGCTGCCCTATGCTTCTGGCCAGTTGCAGATAAACAATGTGATTTCACCCCAAAGAAAAGTCAGCTTTTCCCCACTTTCATTCTCTCTTGTTTTGCATGTGACCATAGACCAGTCATAGTACACCTACAAAGGTGGGCAGTAGAGTAACCAAGTTAATAAACTTTTACACCGTGGTTTTGCCAAGAATATACCAATGGCTTCTCTTTTTCTCTTTTTGCATTAACATGATATATGGGAAATGCTAGATAAATTTATTCTGTTTGGGAAGATAATTCTGTGCTTCCTTTCAATATATCCATTACTTCTGTGCTATCAAGAGAAAAGAGATGCCAGCTCTTGATACCTGTGATACTGTGAAGTTTCTTTCCTTGGGTCTCACTTCTCTGGTGTTATTTTCTTAAATCTCACTCTTCTGACTGTGTTTTTCTAAACATCTACACATAACCTCTCATTGACTTGGCCACTGGTTCTATAGTTGCCTGAAAACCAAAATTTCTTCATAGACTGAATATTCACAAAAACATGGGAAATAGTTGTTCTTATTCTGGAGGAGAATCCTTTTTTATTGTGTTCCCAAGTTAATGTAGAGGAACAAGCTTTAGTCTGAGAAGAGCTTTTTCAGCTGCTGGTGGAACAGAGAAAGGGAAATGCATCATTCTCTCAAAATCCTTAAAATTGTGATGTTAAATATCACCTTTGAAAAATAAAGATAACCAAATGAATGCTATCTCTGTATACATTTTGCAGGCCTTCAGCACTGAAGTTTCATATAAGATCAAATTACAATGTATCATATATTTAGGATACTTCAGACTACATACACACTTTTTTGAACATAAATTTTCAAATTATCTTTTTTCTGCCTAGCCTCTTTTCTTCCCTTCCTCCCACCCCCTTTTTTTTTTGTTTGTTTGTTTTTGCATGGCCTGTAGTTAGCAAAGTTAAAAGCTGATTCTGGTTCTGTTTGGTTTGTTCTGGGTTTTTTGTTTTGTTTTATTTTTTGTTTGGTTTTTGGTTTGTCCACAGGCCTAACATGAGTAAAAGTTCTGCATCTTGGTCTCTTCATAATTAAGCCTACTAGAAAGAAGTGAGACACTCAGTCTTGTATTTTTGTTTAACTGACTGATATTTCAAAATGCTTGTTTGGATACTGATCTTAAATCCAATCATGTGGTGTTGCAGTTTATGTGGAGGAGGGGAAAGGGTGGTGGCTAAAAAGTTTCAAATTGTCCCTCTTTCAGTAACAACTTCTGTTTGAAGTGCTGATAATATTTTATCCTTTTAAAATTTCTATCAGTCCAGAAAAATGTTCTTCTTTCTTATGAACTGTGAAGTTTAGCTGTCAGAATTGAATTGCTTGTTTAAAAATCCACCTGTGTGTATTTGCAGGTGTATGTTTCACTGTTCTGCAAGCCTGTGTTTGTATTCTTTGTTGTTAAAATCTTTTCTGGTTGGCCTGTGTAACTAAAAATTTGGCATCACTGGCTAAAACAAATTTGTCGCATCTTTAATGCAGAAATCTTGTACTGTCTATATTTAATAGGCATATATTCAATGCAGTTTCAGGTGGTGATAGGAAGTACTAGCCAGTCTTTTTCAAACAGATCATTCTTGATAATTCATCTATGCATCATATACATCAGCCTAACCCTGCTTTAATGGCAGCAGCAGTGCAGAGCATGAAAGCTACCAGTGTTCATGCTTCTGTAGAGGATCCAGCAGGTTGTACAGTCTTGCAGTTTACAGATGCTGACTATTTGAATTCATCTCTGAAGCTGAACAATGCTTTAGGTTCAATTACTGACTGTACAGCTGAAAATCCTAACTCTCATGTTTTAGGCTGTTCTGTTGAAGTACAGCCAACAAGTGAAAATACAGTTCTACTGAGTACAGTCACACAAGCTATGGAACAGTTCAGTGGAAGCAAGGAATCCATCATTGCTATCATTGTGAGAGTCTAGAAGAGCCTGAAATAGTTAACAGTTCTTTCTTGCCTATTTAGCAAGAGTTTCTTGACACAGAGGTGACAGAAACAGATACATATGTTAATATGAACAAATATGGTGGAAGCGGAATTTTACAAACCGAACATTCATACTGCAAACAAGACGTAGACAGAGATCACCTTTGGCAAAAAATTTCAAAGCTCCACTCTAAGATCCCTCTACTTGAAATGCAGGAGATAAAAACTTTGGGGAGACTCAGATCTTTAGAAGCTCTTATTGGACAAATGATGCAAGAAAACCTGCTTTCTGAAGAAAAGCTAAAGATAGTAGAAAACTGTTTTACAATACTTGAAGTGACTATGATACAGTAAAAGTTTTCAGTGATTGTTCTAAAATATCTTTATAACCTCTTTGTCCATTTGTACAAATTACCATTTGTTTCAGTCATGATATTTTAAAAATCTAATGCAAACTGTGTGAATTCTTTAAAATGTTACATCAGCCACTACCAATGCTAGGTTGTAGAATATTGCCTATAAAATATTACTTGCAAGTAAGCTTTAAAAGAAAATAAAGCCTGTTACAGTTTTGTTAAAAAGTTTATTAATTGAATCACTAAAGATAAATTAAACCTTTCTAGCTGCAGGCTCCTCTGAAACATGCAACTCCTGCACTTGGAGCAGCAGTAGAAGGGAAAGAATAATAAGCATGTAGGATGAACAGTGATGAGACTGTTGCTTAAAGAAAGCCAAGTGTCCTGATTCTCTTTCAGATGAGCAATGTGGTATGTAATAAGCATTGTCCAGTGAGGTCACAATTACTCTGTTCTTCTGTTTATCTAACATTTGTTCTGATGGGGGGGGTTGTACACTTTCACCTTATTAAAGTTGGTTTTGCAATAAATGGTGTTTCCTTTAATTGAGTTCTAGAAACAAGAATTCTTTAAGAATATTTTTACAGTGAATATCTCCATCTCTTGTTTTTTGGCTATCATCTCAAATGGAAAGAACCATGTTAAATAGTGGTATTTTTGCTAGTTAGTAAAAGGAAGAGCTTGGAGTATTCACTAAGTGTTATCTGCTCATGCCTGATCTTACAGCCTCTGTCTGAGTAATGCATGTACCCTTAATACTACACTGAAGAAAAGAATGCTTTGCAGAGCAAATTGCTAGTGAAAGTAGCAGAATCTTGCTCATTATTTTTCTATATCTTGCTTTTGAGAAATGTAATTATAAAGACTAGAAATCTGCTTCTCTGTATTGGTTTTGTTAACTGTTTCTAGTGCACAGGATAGTGCTACAGTAGAAACATACTGACAGTTCATTTGAGGGAAAATTATTTTGCTTAAATACTTTCTGCTTATTCTGTCTGCCTGACACCCCTTAGATCTAGAGTTCACTGTGCAATCTAGCACCATGAACTAGTACTGTACATCCCAGTTGGACTAGATGATTGGTTTAGGTCCCTTCCAACTGAGCTATTCTAGTTTATTTTGTTCTACAATTAGTAGGTTACCTGAGGGACTTGGATGGATTTTCTTTCACTCAAAAGTGTGTCCCCACCACCACCACCACCGGTTCAGTCTGAGACTGGAGCAAACAGGTTCCTCTGCAGTCTGTTCCCTGTATTTTCTGTTAGACATGTTCTAAACTGCTCTGGGAATCTTTTCTTAAGGAACTGAGAATCAGGGAATTACATACAAACAGTTACAAAGCTGACTTCCAAGTAGATAATGCATTGAAAACTCAATGAAGTTTCAGAAATTTTTTGGAACTCACAGAGTAGCTGCCTAGAACTTGGTCTGCTAAAGTACAGTGCTGTAAGAGGTTAGTTCTATCAGTAACCACTGTCATGCCTGTTTTGTCCTTCAACTTGATAACTTGTTTCAAGCTCTAAGCACAGGATATGCTTGGGAAATTTCCTAAGGAAGATAAATGTCCATTATAATATGATGAATTATTTACAGGGACTCTGTGACACACTGATTTTTTTTTTCCCACTGATTACAGATTGCTGTCCTTGTAACAAAAGAACATGCCTGTTCTTCCTTGTGTGCTCCAAAATCAAAAGAGCTTGTCCTGTATCCTCTAGAAAGATTGCTGCTATGCAGATTCCAATCTTGTGAATGTTGTCCAGGAGGCCTCACTAAATTGTACATTTTGTATTTTTTTATAAAGTAAGGGATCTTTCAAAGTGGTTTACAAAATGCTGTATAAAATTTCTAAATTATTTGGCAATTTTAGAAATTCCATGAAAGTCATTACAAATCAAATAAAGCTGCATTTTAAGACTTGCCACACAGTTCAAAAGTCTGCTGGAATGGCAGTGATAGCACAGCCATGGCAAAAGTTACAACACTTTAAGCTGTTGCCTCAACAAAGCTTTATTCCTGAAGAAAATACTATTTTTTTAACATGGTATTTAATTTTCCAGGTTTTTTTGCCTTTCTTAGTAGATTTCCCTATTAAAATTGAGAAGGTTATTTGTGACATAGGTGTCCTTAAACCTGGGGAAAACAAATGCTTGATTTTCCTCTTGATGAAGTTTCTTGAGACTATAGCAGAAAAACTTGGTAACTCCTCAAGCCTGTCACTACATCAACAAATTCCACTGCTGTAGGGTGATTTAGTCCTATGGGCCTAAGGTGGACGTAGCAGGCCCTCTGCCTTTCTTTACACAAGTGGGTTTTTTTGTGCCAGATAGGTCATCATTAAGGCCTACAATTAGCTCTTCTCACCTGAGCCTCTTACTTAACTGCTGCCTAAAGTAAACTGTACCCTCTTACCAAGTAGGGTATTAGAGTTAAGCAAATGTGTCTAATAATAGATGTTAAATATTATGATAGTTTAATAAACTAGTGTTTTTTTAAAGTAGAGCTTTACAGGTTTAGGTTTCAATTTACCAGCTTTAAGATTTTCTTTAATAGTAAATTTGACCTGTGATTGCTCTTAGTGTGTCAGATCATAGTGTGTCTGTCCCATCTCAGTGTCCATCCCATCCAGATTCATGGTTTCTGCAGCAGGCAGCCTGTTCCCAATTATGTAATTAATTACTTCAGAACTTTACAGATTTAACAAGTGTGGGCTGTTTTCTTAATTTACCTCTTGAAATGCTAAGCTGTATTTCTTTGCCACTGTCCACTTGCTACCATAGGAATTTGGCTTTCTCCTAGATGTTCATTTAAATGTCACCAATTCTATTAAACTTACCTACAAGCAGCATAATTCCATCAGCCTAGATAAGAGAAGGCTCTGGAAATGCACTATAGGAGCCTTCCAGTACCTCAAAATGCCTACAGGAAAGCTGGAGAGGGACTTTTTACAAGATCATGTAGTGACAGGACAAGAGGGAATGGATTTAAACTGGAAGAGGGTAGATTTAGTTTAGGCAGGAAGAAATTCGTAACTGTGAGGGTCTTGAGACACTAGAACAGGTTGCGCAGGGAAGCTGTGGTGCTTCATCCCTGAAAGCATTCAAGGCCAGGTTGGATGGGGCTTTGAGCAATCTGGTCTAGTGGAAGGCATCCTGCCCATGCAGGGGGATTGGAACTAGATGATACTTAAGGTCCCTTCCAACCCAAACCATTCTATGATCTAAAATAAACAGGTGCCCCTTTCCCTTGTTTTTTCCATCTTCTTTACAAGGTGTGAAGTTTTATGCAACTCATTCTGGATGTGCCAGCTACAGGGTTGTGTTTTTTTTCTTTCTATCAGACTATTAAGTAACCAGGACTTTTGTTAATAATTAATTTTCTTTGTCCTCTTCTGTTTTGCCCAAGCTAGTCTACTGGGGTGGGTGCTCTGGGCCGATGCCATGGAGTCCAGCTGTGCCCACCTTGGCCACAGGACAATCACCCCACTGAAGCAATCCTCCATCTGACAGCACCACTGCTGGACTCTAGTGCCACAGTTCATAAAGTCATGCTAGATGCTGTCTTCTCATCAGCAAACTTGAATCTACGTGTGGCATTTTAAAATATTACACTTCCTCCATCTCCTAACTCCTGTAATAGGTTGATTACCTTCATACCTAACCATGTTTTGGTCCTAACTGCCTTGTGTGCAACAAGATGCCTCCCCTCGCTTAATAATGATGCTTAACTGCAGGTTACAGTCATACAGGCAGATCTGCCCTCCTGCACTTCACCCTGTGCCGAGTCGTACCTTAGCAGAGCACCAGGCTCAGCCAAGTCCAGCCCTTCCATATTGCAGTGACATGGTCTAACACCCATGGGCCCCATCCAGTGAGGGCTCATGCCAGCAAGGGTGGCCTGTCCCCAGTGAATTCCTACAGCCATAATTAGTTAATTGTGTCACTGACAGTGGTAGACTCTGCTCAGCAGGATGTATTCTTTCTAAACCCATTGAGGTAAGTGCTGAAATTCCTTTACTCTTAGATGTTTTGAACTTCATTACAATAGGGTACTGGAACCCAGGTCCTGCTTTCATGAGACATTGTATCCACTTGGTAAGAGATGCCAGGAAAGACCTACCTGCTTTCTTGGCAAACCCAAGAGACACTGTGAGCAGCAGACTGACAAAACTAGACAAAGTCCACATCCAGCCACCCAGGCAAAACTAGACAAAGTCCACATTCAGCCTCCAGGAAAGGCCTAAAATGTGGGTTAACACTGAGTGACTTAGGCTTTTTCCTTTTCCCTAAATGCCACAAGCAGGAAGCCTCGTGCCATGTCATAAAGCTGGAGAGCAACGGCATCTACACACTATGGCCTTTGGAGGGCTCAGGGTTTTGTGGAGAACAGGGAGAAAGGAGTGAGTTTGGGTGTTAAGGGCTGCTGCCTGGAGAAAGTGCCTTCTTGTAGGGGATCTCTTTGTGCTGCTGAGGCAGTGTCAGTTGCAGGCATTGTCCCTTCTTTGGGATTTCATACGTCAGGCACAGCTCAGAGCTTCAGGGAAAGCCCAGTAATGCACTGGAAAGACAGGAATTACCATCACCTAGGTAGAGGGAAGAGAAAGGGAGAAAGAGGAAAGGACAATTTTTATGCTCATTAATGACATTAAAATGAAATTAGATTTGGTAAAAAATTGATTTTTCTTCACTTATTTACCAGAGAATGTTATGTCTCACTACTAGAGGATCATTTACATTTTTGTGGCCTCAAGTGGATAATTGGAAACACATTAGAATCTTATTCACACTAAATGATATAAAAAATAATACTGCTTTATTTTCTCCTTTAGTGAAATCAGTGTAATGGCTTTCCAATTTACCAGACCATTTACTTCTGCAGAGAAAACGCGAGTTTCTGCCCAAGTATTTTCCACAAATAAAATGATAAGAATCAAACCTCTACACGAACCTTTCCAGTATAGATACCCCTCTTGGCATTGCTAAATTTGGTGTACATTGC